TTATTTATGCGACAATAATAAAACAACACCCCCGTCGATAACCGTTATACGGCTAATTGCGAACTCGTAATAACGATCGTTAACATATTCACGATGAAAAGAAGAAGCGAAATAGATAAATTTCATCATTTCATTCATACGCTTCGATATTCATACGAACGAATGATACGACATTAAAATAATATTCTCTTCGAAATATCTTTCGAGTCGGCGATGTCCAATCTCTTTAATTAAATTAATTAATTAATAATTATCTAACGGCATATAAAACGATTGTACGAATTGTGCAAAAACATTTTTTTTATCATTTGCAATTTATTCGTCAGCAATTAGAATGTTTTACCTTTCTTCTTCTCTTTTCTCTTCTTTTTTTTTTCTTTTTTCTTCTTTTTTTCCTTATTCTTTTTCTTTTTTTTTTTTTTACTTTAAGCTCGATCATTAAAAATTCTTTTGAATCGAAGACAAATTTCGTTCGGGGAAAAAAAAAAAGATATGGAAAAAAAAAGATTTGTGAAAAGCTCGTAAATCTTTTCCCGCGTAAAATTTATCGCTTTCAAGTAATTTGTCTTCGCAGTCACGTTACATTTTTGAGAAGCACGTTTTCGAAATACGGTACATTCTCGCTGCTCGTTAAACGTACGAGTGATGCTTGTATACAGTTTGCCACCTCGATCGTCGATACACACCTCGTCCGGAACTAAAAGCTTTTTCAAAGCGCGATGAAATAATACGCCCTTCACCCTTCGTTAAATGGACATTGCCTTTTCACGCATCGTAGGGTGAAAAGAGCAGCAAATCCTTTCAAAACGTTCAAATAATCGCTTATAAAAGTAATACAAATTATACGAGAAATAAAAAAGGAAAAAAAATATTAAAAACAAGTGGATCGATCAAATTTATTTATTTTGTTTTGTTTTTTTCTTTTCTTTTCTTTTCTTTTCTTTTCTTTTCTGTTTTCTTTTTAATTCATTAAAACGCATTTTACATACCAAACTAATCGAAACCCGCGTAATCATAAACACGCATATTTTTCATAATTTAATAATTTCAAAATGGCTTTCATATTGCAAATAAATCTTATATTTTTAATTTTAAAGAAAAAAATTAATATTAAACGAATAAACATATTTTAATACTAATCATTCAAAAGAATATTACGGTCAATACGAAAGAAACAAATTTTGTGAATCTCAATGTGTTAAGGAAAGGCGTTTAATAAATCGTAGAAAATAATTGTTTATTAATAATAAAAATCCTTTTAAATCATGCATCAACATATACATCTAAAAAAAGAGATAATAAATACACTAAAATAAGAAATAATTTTTTACAAAACAAACATGTATAATTACATATTATATCAAGTAGTGCTCTATATACCAACGTTTTATAATACATTTGCTTATAATGAGTATTGCGATTCAAATTTTAACGATATAAATACAATTTTAAAGAACCTGGGGGACCGTAGTTACTATATATTATTTTAACGATACAACTATTATCGCAACAATTTCGAAAATTCGGAAGAAATTAAAGGAAAAAGTTTTGAATATCCATTACAAATTATTTCTACTTTTCACGATTCCTTAAGCGATTATCATATCGAATCGATCGTTTGAAAAATTAAACAAAAACCTTTAATTTGGATTGAGAAACACTGCTAGTTAGCTTGCTACTAACTAACTTTAGAAGACAAGCAGAGAAAAAGAGAGAGAGAGAGAGAGAGAGAGAAAGAGAGAGAGAGAGAGAGAGAGAGAGAGAGAAGCCATAAGGTCGATAATCTTGAGGAGAAGCCATCAAAAGCATATCAATTTCTCGGATCGTCAATTTCACGAAATATTACATGCATCATCGACAAAGTAAGTACGTTGATCCAACAATAAGTTAAATGCCAACTTAACTAGTTCTTACATATGTACGAACGTTCTTGACTACACCCTTCTTAGTTAACTAACTAGCTCTCTACTACAACTAACTCGCGCATGTTTCTCTATTATAACCGTTTGCTATATCTTTGTTGCATATACATATATATATATATATTTGTATATATATATTATATATTATATATTATATATTATATATTATATATTATATATTATATATTATATATTATATATTATATATTATATATTATATATTATATATTATATATTATATATATATATATATATATATATATCGAGCGAAGAAGGTAGAGAAGACGTTGGCTCAGTCCGGAACGCGACGAAACCTACATTACGAAACTTTCCACGAATTACGTTCAACGTCCGCGTTCCTCTCGTAATTCCTGGACGAAGGGTTCGCCCGAGGATTCAACTTACCCAGTGGTTCTGATAAATTCATGGAAGACGAAAAGCAACCTCTACTGAGTACAACATTCTATCGCGTAATGTTGAATCCTCTACGAATTCGATCAAATAATTTTGACTGTATTATTCAAATAATTATTTTTGACGATACGTATGATAAACGCAGCAAAATAAAAAAAAAAAAAATGAGAAAAACAAAAAAAAAACAAAGAAAAAAGGGAAAAGAAAAGAAAAGAGAGAAAAGAAATTAATCGATCAAAACTATATAACTTCTATCTTCATTATCATATAACAATTATACATAGTAATAATTTAACAAATTTTCAATGAAATAAAAAAAAGAATCCTTAATAACCAACAATTGTTCGTTCAATTATTGTTGAATGTTCGTTTAATTATTGTTGAACAAAATTCGATCGTATAAAAAAAAAATATAAATAGAAAGATGATTATACGTTAAAATAAAAAAATAGGATAAATAAATAAGCGAATAAAATTTTCTCGATGTTATTACTATTATTATTCTTTCATAATCGTAATACAGTAAATTAGATTTCTCTCCTATTTATGATCACAGACTTTACCTAACTTCTATCAACATGTTACCATTGTACCCCATCTGTGTATGTTCGTATGCATATAAACGTACCTCGAAACGTGACTGACACACTTTGTTGTTGCTCACTCAACTTTCACTTTCGATATCAATTCTTTCACGTCTTTCTTCCTCCACTTTTCGACACCGTACTTTTTTTTACAAGCGAGCACGCTTACACAAACGCGACACGCTTTTATGCATTTCCCTATTTCATTCTTTTTTCTTTTTCTCTTTTTCTCTATCTCTCTTTCTTGCTTTCTTCCTTTTTTCTTTTTTCTTTTTCTCTTTTCTTTATGCAACGACTTCTCCTACTCTAAATGATCATTCATGTGTAACGAAATAGTTCTTCATCATCGTTCTCGATAATATTAATCTCGGTAATATTTTGTTGTGCATTTTTCTAACTGATACTGAAAAAAGAAAAGAAAATAGGAAGGAAGAAAGGAAGGAAGGAAGGAAGGAAGGAAGGAAGGAAAGAAGGAAGGAAAGAAGGAAGGAAGGAAAAAAAATAAGAAGTAGAACGAATAATTAAAAAATTATGACGTAACTCATTCTATCGTAAAAAATGTAAGTATTCATCGACCGAAACATACCAAGCGCAGATAATCGAGCTTTTAACTGTTAAAGCTCGTGCGCCACTAAAATTATGTCGAGCGTCACTCGAATGACATCATCCAAGTACATGCAAATTACACGATTAACGCTGCCCAACTATCCAATGGACCGGCCTCATTTGAGCGTACCACGTTTAAATGGGACAGCCACGATTCCAAGAATTTACGCAGTATTTACGATTACCGCACGCTATCCAATTGTAGTCATATTTATCGTTGATAGGTAAATTCGTTTCTATGATAATTCTTACGAAGATTGGTCATCGAATAAATCAGAACGAGTTTCTCGAATGAAACACGAACGAATGAACGAAAGAATGAACGAACGAACGAACAATTCCAAATCAAATTTAATAATACTTGTTATTATCATAAATGAATTTTTAAATCTAAATTTATCGTGAAAAAAAATTTTTGCAATTTAAGAGGGAAAAAAGAAAAAACAAATGTGTGTGTGTGTGTGTGTATGTGTGTTCAAAAAATATGGAATATATCTGTAAAATTTAAATATTTGGAATAAATCTGTATATATTTGAAAACATAAACGTATCAAATTTTCTTCCTTGCGAAAACATTTGTAAATGCGAGAAGTAAAAGACGTCGTCAAGTTAAAAAAAAAAAAGAAGAAAAGAAAAAAAAAGAAAAAAAAGGAAACAAAGAGAGAGAAAGAGAGAGAGAGAGAGAGAGAGAGAGAGAGAGAAATAAAGGAAATGTAATTAAGTCGAGAGAAATCCTCCGCGATATCCTCCACTGAAAATCGATGAGAAAACAATTCGAAGATAAGATAACATCGTTTAATCATTGGATGGGACATCCGCGAGGATGGATAAAAAGGAAAGAAAAGAAAAAAAAAGAAAACAAAAAAAAAAGAAAGAAAGAAAGAAAGAAGAAGAAAAAGAAAAAGTAAAGGGAAACTGTTTGTAGACGGAAACGGAGAAGGAAGTGAAGTAAGCTCGATGCGAGATCGTGCGAAAGATGGGAACGTGGAGGAGGTAAAAAAAGAAAAAAAAGGAAAAAAAAAAAGAAAAAAGAAGAAAGAAAAAAGAAAGGTAGACCGAAGAAGGATAGTGAGGAAAAGGGGTTATACGAAAGGAGGCCGCGAGACGAAAATTGTTCTTCGCGAAAAGATTCGAAAAAGGGAGGAAAGGTTTCTCTTAGAAATCGATCGGTAGAAATTCGCACTGGCGAAAGATCCTGACCAAGGCGATATAGTACGTTTCGTTACATGGTGTGAACAAAAGGGAAAGAATCAGAAAGAATGAGAAAGAATGAAAAAAAAAAAAAGGAGAAAAAAAAGAGAGAAAAAGAGAGAGAAATAAAGAGAGAAAAAGAGAGAGAGAGAGAAAGAGAGAGGGAGAGAGAGAGAGAAATAGAGAAAAACAGAGAGGGGGATAGGAGTGAAGAGAAGGAAAGAGAAAAAGAAAAAGAATAAAAAAAAGAGAAGGAAAAACTAAGAAATCGTTTCTGACTTACACCAACATTGAGTCCGCCCTCCGTCATGGTCGTTGGTCCTCCGTCTCTGCACGGCTCTCCACACTTTCGGAAATAAAATCCTCGGTTTCTCTCTTCACTCCTCTCCAACCTACTCTTCCTCTTTCCACCAATCACCACTTTTCGAGCTCACTCTTCTCGTTCACTTTCTCTCTCTCTCTCTCTCTCTCTCTCTCTCTCTCTCTTTCTCTCTCTCTCTCTCCCTCTCTTCCTCTCTATCACACACTCTACCTCTCTCTCTCTCTCTCTCTGTTCCTGTCTCTGTCTCACTCGAACACTTTCCACTTCTTCCACGTTTCCCTCCACGCTTTTCTCTTTCCTATCTCGGACCGTCTCTTTCGCACTCTCTATCTCTGCATTATCCGCTTCTATTCGTCTATCCTCTTTCGTCGTACGGGGTGCTCCGGTTCAACGAATCGAATCCATTAATCACCCTTCTTCCCAGGTTTGGTATGGCGAAAGCTGTATTTAATTTTTCACGCGATGCCGCTTTATATTTTAAATGGAAATCGAACGTGCGCAACGCGCCGGAATATGTGTTAGATAGAAAGAGAGAAAGAGAGAGAGAGAGAGATAGAGAGAGAAAGAGAAAGAAAGATAGGGAGAAAGACGGAGAGAGAGAAAGAGAAAGAAAGATAGGGAAAAAGAGGGAAAAAGGAGGAGAAAGAGAAAGAGAGAGGGAAAGAAAGATAGGGAGATAGAGGGAATAAAAGATAAAGAAAAAAGATTTCTGCACCTATGAACGCGTTATGCGATGAGAAGAGCTGAAGGGAAAAATATCAGCGACTCTGCAAGCACGTCACTCTTTGGTTCACGCTTTTGACCTGACTTTGACGAAGATGTATTTCGGCTACCCTCACTCCTCATTCACTTCCTATCTCTCTCTTTCTCTCTCTCTCTCTCTCTCTCTCCTCTGTGTTGATGAAACACTTGATATCCATAAAAAATACTTTACTGCCTCACACTCTTCGAACTTAGCCCTATTCTTTCTCCCACATTAACTTCTCTTTCTTTCTCATTTCTTTTCTTTTTTATTTTTTTTCCTTTTTTTTTTTTTTGATAGAAATGATCTTCAAAAGTATCTTATGTATTAAGATATCTATATTTAATTATCATCGTGAAAAAAAAAAAGAAAAGAAAAAAAAAATGTATTCGATTTTGATAAAAGGTATTAACTTTTGACAGAAACGTAATGTTTCATATTGATTTGAAATTCTATAAAAGTCATGACACATTTCTTAGATATAAGTTCTATTCGAATACTTATGTGCGTATGTAAACTTTTTTTTTGTTAAGTAATAACAACGATTTAGATGAATCTCAAGTCAAACATATTTCAAAAATGCTTTGAAATTGTATCGAAAGTAATTACTTATAATATTGTAAACATTTCTAAATTATATATATATATATATATATATATATATATATATATATATATATATATATGTGACAATAGTTTATTGATAAAAAAAGAAAAAAAAAGGAAAAAAAAGAAAAGGGAGACATTTTAATCGAACGAACTGATTGCTTTTCTTCATTTCCACTCGAAATATTTAATAGAACGAGCAAATCGTTCGTTTTATCGACAATGTCTCTCAATTACGTACTTGTCATTTTGCCATAGCACCGTAAATATATACATAATTTGTTATACCTATATGATGAAATAATAAAAAATAAAAAAAAAAGGAAAGATACCTATACGAGATCAAACGCATTAGCTCGAAATTACCTTCGTCGTTTCCCTTTTCCTAGTGTAATACGATAATTCGAGATCAGAAGATTTTCCAAAGGATCTAGAACGTCGGCTGCGCATAGATGGGTGGGAGAGGAGGTTGAGAGTCTTTGCATATTCACAAGTCGGATTAAATGCCGCCTTCCGTTCTTGAAAACCTTGACGAAAATTCGTCGGAAGGAAAATCTTTCGACGAAAAGCATACCGGAAGAGTAAAGATATATCCTTCCTATCCCTCCTCCTGTCACCCCATGTATATATACACGCATATATACATGCATACATACATACGTATGTATAGTATCATCGAGCATGATCGTTCTTCCAATGAAATTTCAAGTCTTCACATTTGAACGATAAAAAAATTCATTCTCGTTCGGTATTTTTTCTTAACTGATTCGCCATTATTAAAAACGATTTATCATTTCGAAAGAAATGTCATGGTAACAATCATCACGACAGTTTTCTCGGCGAAAATTAATTCGTACCGAGCTATGAAATACGAATAAATCGTTCAAAATTCTACGCCAATCTTCTGTGTCTTTCTCTCTCTTTCTCTCTCTCTCCGCTCTTTTTCCCTTTTTCTCTCTATACGGTATTTGTCTTTCTTTCTCTTTCTCTCATTCATCCTCACTCTCACTCTCACTCTCACTCCTTCGATCCCATCTATCCGTCGTCTATCTCTATCTCACTCTACTCTCTAACTTGTATTTGATCACATGAAATCTCTACTAAAAGTGCGCGATGACAATTACACGTCGCTCAAATCTGATCTCTCTTTCTATCTCTCTCTCTTTCTCTCTCTCTTTCTCTCTATCTATCTATCTATCTATCTATCTATCTATCTATCTTTTTCTCTTTTAGTGATAGCACAAAGAGAAAGAAACAGATCTGGTGATTTATTCCGCCTCATATACGATTAATCGATGCGACAGGGACGCTCGTTACTCATGATTCCGCGAAGGGTAGAAAAAAGGGGAGAGAGAGAGAGAGAGAGAGAAAAAAAAAAGTAGAAGAACTTTCATATAAAAAGAGGCTTACAAGGACGTTCAGAAATCTCAGCGGGTGACGGGAGATTTTTTTTTTCTTCCTTTCCTTTCCTTTCCTTTCCTTTCCATTCCTTTCCTTTCCTTTACTTTTCTTTTCTTTACCTTCTATTCAAAATAAAAAAAAAAAATAAAAAAAAAACATGAAAAGAAGCATTCGATCGATCTAATCGCATCTCATGTAACTCACGCGAAAAATAATGAAAGAAGCGAAAACGGCCAAAGACTAAATGATGAAGAATCATAAAACTTGATATTTTATTATACTCGCTCGATCAAATATCAAACGTTTGATCAAACAACTGCCGAGCTGGATATGTATCTATATATATATATATATATATATATATATATATATATATATATATATATATATATGTTACTTCGTTAATGAAACTAAAAGTAAAAAAAAAAATGAAAGAAAAAAATAAAAAGGAGTTATAATAATGAAGTCATGAAGAAAAAAAAAATAAAAAATAAATAAATAATAATAATAATAACAATAATAAAGAAAAAAAGCCAAAAAAGACGTGTACAGTCGTTTGCGCGACTCCCATGGCGAATAAATCGCTCCTTCCAATTAATCAAGAAAATTTTTTTTTAGTTCGCTATCCTGGCAAATATTTTACTTTTAGAAGCGAATTGACACAAACGACTGTTTGCACCGCCAATTACGAATCGAGGTAATTAAGCGCGAACCTCTTACTACGGACAGAGTAAACCTCTCGTAAGTACTCGGATGTACAAAAAAAAAAGTAAGATAAGTACACACATACACACATACATTCTGAAAGAAATTTTAATTCTCTTCTTTTTTTATTCTTCTTCTTCTTCTTCTTCTTCTTCTTCTTCTTCTTCTTCTTCTTTTTCTTCTTCTCTTCTTCCTTTTATTCTTTTCTCTCTTTTTCCTGGTAAATAAATCGCGGTGATACAATAAAATGGATAACTTAATCCATTTTGTCGAAGTAAACGAACGATCGAAAAGAGGTAAAAAGCTATTGAAATAATAAGATAATTATACGTATTTAAAAACAAAAGAAAGAACATCGATATATATATATATATAAGTAACGCGATAACGATGATAATAGCTAAGAAAGATAAAAGGAAAAAAATGACGTCTACATTATTACGTTTTGTTTCCGAACGGGAAACAAGTGGTACTATTATTATCTTTTTTCTTTCTTTCTCTCTCTCTCTCTCTCGCGCTCTTTATTATCTCTTCCCAACATTATCATGTTTTAACAATACCCACCAAGCGCTTGGTTAACAGCTCGTTATCTTAAATTCAATATAGTTCCCATCTTCAAAAACCTAATCCTCTTCGTTCAGTCTTTAATCGATCAAATAATTCAATTCGTTATTGCAGATTTTGATAAAAAAAAATTTTTCCAATGAAATCACTAAGAAGCATTGAAAATCTTTTCACATAATTCCTCCCACTACAGCACCACCCTCGTATCATTTCTATTATTAAAACATATTCATTCTCTCGTCCCTTACTGCTCGATCAAGAAACAATTTATCCTTTGAAACGAGTCCAAGACTAGCCCGCGTTTTTTCGTTGTCCATCGCTAATTTATTTCTATCGTTGAAACCTGCCGTACCATTTTTTAAATTCCTTTCTAAATCTTTAAAATTCTCGTCTATTTTAATACACGATTGCAAAAGGTATTCGCTAATTCAAGGATTAAATTTTTTTTATGGAATCGCATGTAACTATTATGTACTTGAAATGATTCGAATTCCGATAGAAACGGGAATGGCTTAACAGAATTGTTTTACATCAAACGAAATCTACCTACCCCTTTGTTGTCAAAACCTAAAAGCAATTTACAAATTTTCAAGAAACGAAATATAAAGGGATAACGGAGAAAATAAATGAAAAGAGTAACAAAGAGAAAAAGGAAGAGAAAGGGAGAGAATGGAGGAGAAAGGGTGAGAAAGGGAGAGAAAAAAGAGAGAAAGAAGGAGTGAGAGAGAGGGAAAAAAGAGGGGGAGAGAGAGAGAGAGAGAGAGAGAGAGATGAAAGAAAACGGCAAAGCATCGCTGTTCTTTATTCACGATGCTTTTCACCATTGGCTTGTTTTTCTTCCACAATGCAATATTTTATTCGCGACTTTCTTTTCTCATAATCTAAAAGTTAAAGCTTCCATCTCTTTCGAATAAAAGACAGACTTGATACGTTCAAGAAACGATATGCTTGACTCTATTTTTCCTCTATGTTCTTTTTTCTTCTTTTTTTTTTATGTTTTGCTACAACGACAACAGATTAGTCATAGAGAGAGAGAGAGAGAGAGAGAGAGAGAGAGAGAGAGAGAAAAAGAGGAAGGGAGGGAATATAGGTTCCGATCAGTTCAACATGATTTATGATGTGGATGACTAACCCATGTTCTACTTCTTCTCTCTCTCTCTCTCTCTCTCTCTCTCTTTTTCACTGTCTTTTATTCTCTTTCTATTCAGTTAAAATAGGGAATCGATGGACGGATGATATCATTGCTTAGAAACGACATTGACAATTAGAGAAAAAAAAAGAAGAGGACTGACATTCGACGTTACCATCATGGATCGAAGTGACCAACGGGTCAAAGGTCGTACCATCGATACAACAGGATGTTGGGATATTACCTGTTGCAATATTACTTTTATTGAAATAAGGAGGATATAATAATCAATGC